ACATAAAATTATATATTTTTATTATATATGGTAGGCAATGTATTTTCGTACTAGCCGAAGTGTCCAAGGTAGCACTAGTTTGGGCTCCCGGGCATTCCAATATAGTAGGAACTCAGCGCTCAGATGAGCTAGGCATCTCTTCTATAGAAACTCCTGTTGTAATACATGCTCCTGCCAGCCACAACTAAGGACTAATTTATGACCATTTTTCAGGCTCATACCTCCTCAGCAGCTAGTTTACAGGCTACATGTGAAATTTACATGAAATATAGAATGTCTGATTTCGTACACACAAGCAAATCTAGGTTAGGTATCTAGATTAATGTCTGTATTAATAGAGCATTGGTCTATAAGATAGTATGGGGTCTTACTTGATACTTACCTGTAGCATCGACTGTACCATATGTGAACCGGCTCTAGAGAAAAAGACACTAGAACACCTATTGTGTCTATATCCAGGCTTGTTTAAAACCAGGTTTAAGTTTTTGTGCAACAGCAACACTTGACCTAGCTGCTAAAAAAATATTAGCTCAACTTCTGTTGGCCTCTAGCGAAAAGTGATAGCATATGTGAATAAAGCTATAAATTTTATGTTTAACATAATTTTTTTTCCGTTAATGACAGTCAGTCAAAATACATTTTAAATCAACAAAAATCAATTTTCTTTATTTGTAATACGATATTTGATACGATCTGTGGTGTGATATTTATTATACCTGCGCCTATTGCCTAATATAAAGGTTAAAAAATCTAGCGCGTTTTTAGGCTAACACTGAAATGATAATAAGTGAATAAAAATGCATCGAACTCCACTTAAAAATTCTACTGCCATAAAAAATGTGTCAGAGAAAATATTATCGTCACCGGATCCATTAATTTTACTAATATGAAAACAGGGTAGGGGATATAAAAATTAATGCATTAATATGCGATATAAAAATTAATGCATTAATATACTTTAATCAAAGAAGCTTATAATGAAGTAAAAAACAAAAGTTGCTGTATATACTGGAGATATGGTGGCTCTAAAGCTGCAATATGAAAATCTTGAAATACCTCCAAACGAACAGAGTACTCGATTATATGAGCTTAACAATAAGTGAGATTCAGGGAAAAAAATATATTTTAATCTTTATGAAAATATTATTAAATAAAACAAAGTTTGTTGAAGTTTTTATTGCAAAAAAAAAAAAACGGGTTACCAGGAAAAATAACTGTTCAAAAGATAATTGCGTAGAAAAAATTTGCTTTCAAGTCTATTCTCATGGAATCCAAACTATGAGATTTCCTGACAGGTGACTAATGATGAATGTAGGTATAGACAAACTTTATTGTAGTCTATACTAAAGACTATTAGTATTATAATATAATATTCTCTTAATGTAAATTTTAATCCAAAATGATATATTAGTAGATATCGGAAGAAATCGTAATTTTATAGTTCTTCATCAAAAAAAGAAAGCAAATGTATTCTTTGTAGGTTATTAGAACCTTTGAACGTTTGAAAGTTCTAGAACTTTTTTGATAAAAATTGCAAAGCATATTTATTACAAGATTTATACAAATATTTTCGAATTATTTAATGACAGATTTTTGTTTCATTAATAAAGGTAGTGATAGTCACCTTATTCAAAATATCATTATCTTTTTCCTTGACAGCTCAACTAAAGCAAAGTATATCTGTTACATTAACAACAAACTAAAATTCAATGGAACTATGATCACAGTGATCCTCATCACGTAAATAGTATCTTATCACGTAAGTCAGAACAATATGGATCATCAATAAGTCATAAAGTTTGCATCTTTTAGGGGACTAAAAAGTTTGAGTAAAAAGTTTGAACACAGAACTATATATCTTATATATGTTACTATATATATATATGTGTATATGCTTATGTATATATGCTTATATAAATATATATGATCAATATTTGTCCAAATTTAGGAAAGATAAAAATTTGAGTAAACAAGAAGTTTGGATAGTACTAGATAATCACTAAATGCGTGAAACTTACAAATCGGTGAATATTATGCTTTATAAATATATATATGTGATGATCAATATTTTCAGCAGCTTAGAGCCAATTTAACTATATATGTACACTTAAGTGTTCATGTAAAATTAAAGTGATATTTGGGCTTTTATCATGTGCGTTATAAAAGTCATAAAACCTATGTTATTCTTTATAAATATATATATGTAATGATCAATCTGTTTTCAGTAGCTTAGAGCCATGTGGGCTTTTATCGTGTGCGTTATAAAAGTCATAAAACCTATGTTATCTAGACAGTTGTATGACAACTACAGTTTTTTCTCTTTGTTGTCATAACGATGAAGGCATGTTATGTATACCGTCAAATCTCAGTTGCCAGTTTTGTACTATTGCTACTTTTGAGTTACTTTTGTGATGTACTATACATATATATAATATATTTATATATTTGAGTTTTTAATTGAATTAAAATAATATTGCAATAAAACTTTACTTAATTATATTTTACTCTCTCCTTTTTGTTATTAATAACATAAGAATAAAAACAGATCTTGTTACTTTCGTTCAATTTAAATAAATTTTAAAATAAATAAATGTAAAATAACATAGCAGTGGCGATACAAAATAAAATTGAAAAGTTCTGAAGAAATAAAAACATTTTTTATTACTTAGGAGTTGTCTGATTTTTTTAAGGAATTAAAAAAATGTACGTCAAAGTTACTCCAAACACAAAGCTGCAGGAAGGAAACAGGATAATACTTTGCTTGACAATGAAACCTTCAAAAGAGATGGAAATTTCAAAAGTTATTAAATACGCAGCTAAGAGCCAAAAAATTTTAGTTATTAGAAATTTTTGTATGTAATTGGAAAAGGAATTTTATATTAAATAAATTTTGAAACAAAAGTAAATTGCGTTAAAAAGTAATTAATGGGAACGCTTCTGGACATCTATCTCCGACGCATTCCATTTTTATTGAGTGTTGACTGAGCTGAGGGCAAGTAAAGATGAAGTTTTTTATTGCTTGTTTGATGGTTGAAAGTATTTTGATTGTTTCAAAGTTGCATGCATTTCACGTTTTCGATAAGGTTTCCACACCACTTAACGTCTCACCTCAGTAGTGAGCAAACAATTAAAATATACACTTATACGCACCTTGTATCTCTACGTGCTAATTGCCATTGTTTCCATATTTCAGTTAAGTTCTGCTTTCTTTTTTATTTTGATTCCTACAGAGACTTTTAATAAGTTTAGTACTTTTTAAACTTTTTTAATTGCAATTATAAATTCTTCAGATGTTTTTGTTTTTCGTATTAGTTTGCGAAACTCAACAAGTCAATTTTACAAATTCGCAATTAAACTCTAAGATATTCTGTAACTTCGGAATTATTTTTAATTAATTTGAAAGGCAATCAACTTTAGTTGTTCAAATAGTTTTTGTTTACTTTTTATTATTAACATTTTATATTAACTGTATTAATTATGTTAAAGCTATCAATTAAATTAAGTTATTGTTCAACAAATAACGATGATACATAAAGCCATGGAGTATTCCCATCAACGCTTGTATCCCCGCTTGTGTTTAGCGGGGAATACTTGAAGCTTTGTACCAAAGGCTGAGTACAACAAATAATTTATTGTCAATTTAGATTTGGAGTACACTACAATTTTATGTGAGTAATGTACGAATTTCTTTGAATCAATAATAAATAATAATAAATATTAAAAGACATTTGGATTATGTCTTTTAATATTTGCTCTATTATGAAGCTTATAAGGAAGTAAAAAACAAAAGTTGCTGTATGTGCTGAAGATGTGACAGCTCTGAAGCTATAATATGAACATCTGAAAATACCTCCAATCGAACAGAGTCCTCGATTATATGAGAATAACAACGACCGAGATTCAATGCAAAAAAGAGATTTTAATGTTTGAGAAAATATTATTAAATAAAGCAAATAGTGGAAAAGTGTGTCGAAGTTTTTATTGCAAGAAAAAAAAGGGCTAACAGGAGAACAAACTGTTCTATTATACATAGACTTAAGGTAAAGCATAGAATAAATCTGGTTTCAAGTCTATTCCCATGAAATCCAAACTACGAGATTTCCTAACAGTGGCTGCTTAAACTTAAATTGTTGAAATGTTTGGATGTGGCTATAGACTAACTTTATTTTAGCCTATACTAAAGACTATTAGTATTGTGAAATAATACTCTCTTAATGTAAATTAATAAATATGTCTATGAGTAATTAAAAAAAAAAAACAAAAACCAAAAAAAAATAAATTTTTATGTTATAAACTAATGTCAACAATATCCAACACCAACACCGCGTTATTCAATCTAAGAATGGTTACAGGCTCCTCGGGGAGATGTACAGATCTGAGGTAAATTATTGCTTAGTGTGATGAAATGATAAAGAATAATCTAGTCAAAGCGCAAAGAGGGGTTTTGCAGAAACCTAGTAGTTAATAGAGAGTAAAAGTGCTCAGGTGCACTGACTGAACTAGCCTCAACATAATAATATCCAAGTTACATTAGAAATTTCCAACTATATTACAATATCAAAGGGAATGAATTAGCATATGAGCTAACCAGAAGGAATTCCGGCACCGCCGTTATGTTAAAAATATGTTGGAAATTTTATTAATCTACAAAGTTTATCTGTTACTTTCCGGCGCTATCTTTCCGTTCTGTTTTGAAAAATATTGTTAAACGCTTCAGTTAATCTCTTTATAAATTGGGGTCTCGTATATTTAGCAATCCTAGGGGTTTACGATTCTCACCTGTAGCTTTATTTCTTTTATGGTAGATAAGTTGAGCACTTGGTGAACTTTATTTTTAGTTAAAAGTGATAAACCAATCTATTATTTAAATCCTTTAATAATGAAACATTTTGAAAATTTATTTTAATTATAATTAACAAATTTAATTAATGATTATTCTCATGATATATATGTGATATAAGTTATATGAAGTTATATGTGATATAATGGCACAAATTTTTGTATTGTAAAAATATATTTATTCTTATTTGTTAGTAGATAGTTTATTTTTTGTAAAAATGCGGCTTATGGTTATCAAGTAATCGGTGTCTAAAAGGAATCATTGTCATATTCATCGTCAAATTCATCATCCGACTCATCGTTATATTTATAATCAGATCCATCGTCGAGGATTATTTTATTATTCAAAATATCATTAATGTTAATAATTGTGATTGTTACAGGTGTTTCGTTTGCGTCCTTGGATAAAGTTGTTGAACTTGGTTCCTTAATGCATAATTTATCTTTATTATCCAAACTTTCTTTCATATCATTAATTTGTTTGTATTTAAAGATATTGCGAGGTATGCGACGTGATTGTTGCTGATTTGTTGGACCAGGTTTTTCACATACTTTATGTAATTTACCTAATTTTCTCGGATGTCCATCGGGTGGAACTACTGGTTCAATTTCAATTTTTAAAACTCGATCTTTTTGAACTGCTTCCTCATCTTTCCCTTTCAGTCTTTTATTCACATAATTAATTTGCTTGGATTCGATGATTTCTCGTGATTGTTGCTGATTCGATTGTCTAGGTTTTTCACAAGCTTTATGCACTTCAAGTAATTTTCTTTTATGCACATTAGGTGATACAACTGGTTCAATCTCAAGTTTTACAAGGCGATCTTTTTGAACATTTTGAACTTTTTCCAGTCTTTTATTCATATAATTTATTTGCTTGGATACAAAGATTTCTCGTGATTGTTGGTGATTCGAAGGACCAGGTTCTTCACATGCTTTATGTGATGCAAGTAATTTTTTTGGATATCCATCAGGTGGTACAACTGGCTCAATCTCAAGTTTTAAAAGATGATATTTTTCACTTGTTTCCTTAGGTAAAAATTCACATAATTTATCATTCCCTTCCACTCTTTTATTCACATTATTATTTTGCTTGGATTCGAAGATTTCTCGTGATTGTTGCTGATTCGATGGACCAGGTGTTTCATATGAGGATTGTACTATTTTTTTTTGGTGTCCTTGATATTTATATGGAGCTATTGGTACACTTTTAAATTTAAAATTTCGCTGTGGTTCATTTGGAAATACTTCATGCAATCGTTCCTTTTTCGGACGTCCGCGCTTTTTAGTTTTTATAATAGGCGCATCTTTTATTTCCATCAAATAATCAGCAGCATTATTTACTGCGTTTATATTATCTCTGATTAAAAAGTCTTTTTCGTTCAATCCCCGTGGATTATCCATAGTTTTCTTTTCTAAAATTGCTATATTTTTCATTAACTTTGGTGTTCTTAATAAATAACTTACACAGTTTGGATTAGGCGTGGTTTTTTCGCCCTCAATTTTTTTATAGAAGATCTGTCGAACTCAGTTTTCAATTTAAATGGCTTTAATACTGATGAAACTTGTAATGTTGATATATATTGAAATGAGTGCCTTTTTAATGGCCTTTCTATTTTCAATCGTTTTTGGAATAAACTGAGCTATTAACAATCAAATGTACTCTTCTGGTATAACTGGCTTCCACAGATTTGAGCTTTTTGTAACACTTAAAGTAAGAAAAATATGTTCAAATTAATTAAAACTGTTTTATGTTCATAAAATATATACTAGATGATGATGTTATAACTTTAAGTTAATTAAGTTAATTATAATAACAAAATCACCAACATATAATTATGATAAAAAGAGTTATCAGCTTTATGAAAGCTTTAAGGAACTTTAAATTAACATAGCATCTAGCAACACTTGAAATAGTTTATCGATTAAGATACAGATATATACGAGTACTTATTATTTACTATAGGTCGTATATTAAAAAAAATTGTTTTATAAATATGTACTAAAATAGTGTCAGAAAATTTACAAATAAAGCGCTAAGCAAATTGTTCACTTTATGAGAGTTCTTCTAATCATACGTTAATTAAACAAATTTTATAATCACGTGTTAATACTTTATTATATTTGAATATATTAATATATATCGGTTCATTTAATTATTTTTTACACTAAATTAGATGTTTACACTAAATTAGATTTTCACACTAAATTATTTTTTAGTACAGCAAGTATTCACGAAGTACAGCAGGAAGTGTTCCTGCGCTGTTCCTAAAGTTTTAATGGTTGTCAGATATTAGGTTCATATAAATTACTCATAACCTTTTATGTGAAAACGTTTAATATAGAATATTATTCACTATTATTATGTTCTCTTTTTATTTTTCGAAATATCCTATATATATTTAACAATTTATTCGCTACGAACAAAAACTTGCTTTTGACGATACAACGACTTTTGACAGTATCATAAATACGATCCCTGAAAATCTGAATAATTGATGTAAATATTGTGTACCTTGTTTCACATAGGGCCTTGTAATGTAGAGCTTCTCGGACACGACAAAATTGGCTCATTCGAGCCAATTTATGTAGACTGTCACATCAGTATTGCCAACTTCGCACTTTTACTACAATTTTTGTACTGGTTGTGCCTGAATTTAAAAGGAAATGTGGATATGCTCACTTTTAATTTGTCACCAAAAATAACCATCAAGAAAAAACTCATAGAGGCTGTAATAATGTTGATTTGTTATAATATTATCTTATAATAATTGTAAAGTGTAATAATTAGTTTATTAGCTGTTCATAAAATAGGTTGAGTTGGTGCCGGCCATTTTTTTTTTCGAAACATACTGAAATTGTAGGAATTTGCTCTTAAAAAGCGCAAATTCTGAAATTTATTATTAAACAACACTGCTTTGCCTTAGTGCTGTTAGCATGCACAAATACGTCGGCTCTCTTGCTGGAATTTGAACCGACATATTGTTTTTGCTCTTAATCTCAATTTTATAATTTCCATTGACAACAACAACAACAATTTTACTCATGCCGTGCCCGAGACACTCTACATAACATGGCCTTTAGTGTTTTGTAGCCACTTGCGCTGTTGCAAGAGAGAAATAGATAGCGCTTCCTATCTTTGATATTTCGAGCTCTCCATTTTAAATGGAGACATTGTTGTGTTCTATCTATAATAAAAAAAATTTTGTTCTAATATAACAGCATTGACATTGGCTAGTTAAAGACATGCGTTTATGTGCATGCAGCGATTAAAATCATATTCTCGATTTGAGCATCTTTTTTTGTTAAATTATATTACAAAAGATATTTTTTATATAGACGGAAACTCTTTGATGCTTTCATTCGAATAATTTTATAATACACGCAAAAACAATTAAAGTTTACAAATATTTAATTGATTTACACATACAAACTAATATTAAAATATGTCTCCATTTACTGTTGCCCGACTTAGTTCTAAAGTTCTAGGGTCCAGGATATATGGAGATATTTTTTAGCTTATTCATTAATTTGACTTTTAAGACTCCTATTGTGAGAGATTAGCAAATTTGAAGATTTAGCTTACAATTTTATTGATACCTGTATCTTTATAGTAAGTAGATCTAATCTACTACAATGCTATGTAACATTAATTGCATGTCATAAGAATTTTGGAAAACATTGACTGATATACAGAGTTTTTGAGCTAACATAACCCTTAAGTTGAACTCCGTATGTTAAGATTAACTGTAGAATTCGCTAATACGGTTTTATTTTAACTTAATTTTAATTATAATTTCGGAAATTTTATGTCAGATTCGTGACATGCTTTTTCGCTTCATCGTGACACGCTCCTTCCCTCGGAGTATTGCTTGACGCAATACCTAAATATATATTTTGGTTATATATATTAGAATAGCGATTGAATGGTAACATTTCAAAATATTAGTGATTATCTGTGGTTGGAGTAGGCCGTCCGCCGTCAGATACACAGGGGGATAAACACGTACTTTGTGTATGTGCCGTAACTGTTGTATACTGTCGGTAGTGTGATTACATCCTCTACGTGGGGGCGGCTAGAAACAGATCCATAGTATGGTCATGTCTCAACTATGGATGCTGGCTAATTGTAATCGGGCGGACGCAAGCAAAAGCGTCTTAAATTAAAGCTCAAATCCAAGGTGGAACAGCATATGCCGAGGGATGAATGGCCATGGATAGTTGGTCCTTAATATGCGAACTCTGGATACCTGTCGACCTCCAGTTTAAATTAGACTTCCCACGATAAACGGGCTATGTCGTGGGTGACCTCTCTTCCCGAACATTAAACTAATTTTTCATGGATAAAAATTCAAATAACATTGATGAGCTTGATGTCACTCTAACGGCATCTCCAAATGATTCCTTTACGGAACACTCACCCGTGTACGTGCCGGCCACTGGGCTGGAAGCCACCACCCATCTTGACAGCGCTACTGTGTGCATCAAGATGGATCCGGATGGGCCACCGTCTTTTTCTCCGCTCGCGGAAACGGTGATCGTACCAGGTCAATCTTCGTCGCGACCTCAAGATAGGCGACAGGAAATAATTGAAGTATTGTCTTCAAATTCCGAAGCTGCTGATTCTTGCGAGTCCGACAACGACAGTGTGGTCTCTCAGAAGTCCGGTCTAACTGTCGTTGGCTCCAAAGTTGGTAACCTCACTTTGGAGTCTCCTAAATTCACTCACCTCAAAAGAAGTGAGAAAAGAAGGTTCAAGGCGGCTATGGCATCAGGTCTTAGCAGAGCAGAAGCTCTAAAAATCGCCACGCAGTCTTCGACTGCGATTAAGCGGGGCAGATCGGAGGAACAATCTCCCGGTTTGACCACCGTTAAAAAACCTAAGGTAGGCCATGTGGGACTTGCCAAGCCATCGTACAGCCTAGCTGTTAAAGGCGTACGTTTAGGCTTCACGTCGGCTGATCCAGCTGGCACTTCGCTCTCTACAGAGCAAATAACACGTCTCCAGGAGGCGATTATTGATGTTGCCATAGAGCACCAATGTGAAAATATGCAGCCGGAGTTCGAAGGGTGTTTGCCCAGAACGGGGTGGCTACTTATCATCTGCAGTGATGCCAAAACCGCAGAGTGGGTCAAGCGATTTTCTGGTCACATAGGGGCCAAATGCGGGCTCGCCATTAACGTGGTTGAGGAAAAGGATTTCCCACGAACTCATGTAGTTCGTGGCTATTTTCCCCAAAGTTTGACTTTGTCAAACGAAAAAGTTTTGGCTACCATTGGTTCTCAAAACAAATTCTCCACCAAACGGTGGAAAGTGATACGCAGACTGACGCAGGATCAGATGCTGCATCTTGTTTTCGTCATTGATGACGAATCCATGAGGTCGCTGTCCGAACTAAAAGGTAGGATTGCATACCGGTTCGGTCACCTGAGACTGATGCTTAAGGGTACCACCCCCGCTCTTTCTCAACCCATGGATAAAGCTTCAAAGGTGGTTAAGGATGACAAAACCACCCAGTCATCCTCGACTCCGGCAACATCCCTTACGGACAGTTACCCAACGGTGACTATTCCTGTGGAAGAGGAACTAGACGCACGTCCATCTACTAGCAAGGCGGTTGGCACTGCTAGTGGGCGTGCTGTTCAGATTCCCACCTCAGGAAATAAGTCCACAATGCCCTCCACGGGCCCGATTACGGTAGCAGGTAAACCTAGGACCGCTATCTTTAAACCACCCTTACTCAGTAAATGTTTACTGGAGCAATCAAAGGGTGCCAGAAACAAGGGTTCTCGACGAGACAAACGTGAAAGTCTCGTCCGTAAGTCTCTTAACGAGACCTAATGAGCACTTTAAAAGTGCTCCAGGCAAATCTGCACCATGCAAAAGGAGCATCAGCCACCCTGTGCAGAATTGCCCAAACCAACAACATTGCTCTAGGACTTATTCAAGAGCCGTGGGTGTTCGGTGGCCACATTCGGGGTCTTAACTCTAAATCAGGTAAGCTGGTTTATGACCGATCGATAGCAGTGCCGCGTGCAGCTATCTTAATCGGTGGAGACGTAAAACATCTTCCGTTAAATAACTTTATTTCTAGAGACCTAGCAGCGGTCCTTGTCGAAGTTCCAACATTAGGAGGGGTGACAGACATTGTCGTGGCCTCTGCCTACTTCCCAGGTGATGAAAATGCAGTTCCACCAACGGAAGTCCAGCAGCTGATTAGCTTCTGCAGGTCCACTGGTCGGCAGCTAATCTTGGGCTGCGATGCAAATGCTCACCATACGGTGTGGGGGAGCAGCGATATTAACAAAAGGGGTGAGTACCTATTAGAATATATCATATCAGCAGGTTTGAATATAGCTAACAAAGGTAATAAACCCACATTTATTAACGCAATTAGAGAAGAGGTACTAGATCTCACTCTATGCACCAGAGGTATTGAGGAATCTATATGGAATTGGCATGTGTCGGACGAAGTGTCCCTCTCTGACCATCAACATATTAGGTTTGAAATTCCCGGTATATCCGCACAGCAGGAAAAAGTTTACCGACCCAGAAAAACCGACTGGCATAGGTACAGGGACTTAGTGTGTTCCGCAAACTTTTCCATAGCTAGGCCTTTACAAACTGTAGAAGAGTTAGAGTTAGCCGCTAACCACTTAGGTGAGGTATTACTAACCTCCTTTCATAACAGCACGGTTGCAGGCAAT